CCCCAAAACCCCAAAACCCCAAAACCCCAAAACCCCAAAACCCCTTTTGCATAATTTTTAATTGACAATTCCTTAATGGAATCTAGTGCTTCTCTTCATAGCTTCTTGCTCAAGGGTTGGTGGAGGTCTGTTGATTTCTTCTTTTTCAATCGCCTTATTCCAAATATCCTTGACTCTCTTGACCTTATTGTACTCATTAGCATTGAGTCTCTCTTTCCTCATAACGATGTCTCTAGCGTAGCATTCAAAATTGATGCCTTTATAACCAGCTTTTTGCTCTTTGATATCTCTGAGCTTCTTTTCTTTATTATGATAGGATTGCTTTGACAAAGATTGTGAGTAATCTTGCTTCATCTTTGATCTCTCATTGGCAAGATCATCCACTAATCTTTGTTTCTCATGTTGAAGTTTTTCAGTCAACTCTTGGTTTGAATGATCATTAACTTTGTCTTTCCATTCAGCTCTCTTTTTGGTGTCAACAGAGTTAAGGGCTTGATTCATCTCAAGGTTTCTTTGTCTCTTTTGTTGTCCTAAGTGGAATTTTTCTGCTTGAATATTCTTACGAGTTCTTTCCAACTGAGCATTTTCTTCCTGAATCTTCTGTTGTTTAGCAAGAGCAGAAGCTGTTTTGGAACTCTTGAGGGTCGTATCATAATCCTTTTTCAAAGACTTCTGCATCTCTGTCTTAGCCTCATATAATTCTTGCTTGCTTTCCTTCGCAATCCTATCGTATTCCTGAGGGCTGAGAACACTTGGAGGTTTCTTCTTCTCTTCAAGAGCAGCTTGCTGGATTCTCTGTTTATCATGGAATCTTTGTTCCTTCTGAATATTTCTAATATCCCTGTTTTGTTGCTGCATCCTGGGATACCTCTGATACCACTCGAACTCAAACCCTGTATCAGCATTGTGCTGGGCTCTGTGAGAGTCTTTTTCAAGTTTCTGGAAGGACTCCTTTACATGAACCTGAGTCTTCAAATCTGTTTTCATAGCTCTGGTTTGCTAATGAACAAGTGTACGAAGTTCAGCCTTGTTTTTCTCGATACCTGAGTTTACTGTCTCAGCAATCTCCTGAGGAGAAGGATGAGTCTCTAGCTGTTTCTTCCTGTAAGCCAATCTTGCCTGAGTTACTGTAGGCACATCCTCTACCTTAGATGGTCCTTCAAATGCCATTTGAGGAAATGAAGGCTTCTGCTTAGCCTTTGGGGGTTCAGGCTTATGAGTTGAAGTTGAAATAGGAAGGATTTGGAGATTCGATGAAGTATTATGTGAGGGGTAGGATAAGATCCAAAGAGAGCAGAAACTCCTGGAGATGAAATAGATTTATTATTTCCTCTTCCCTGAATACCTATAACTTTGAGTTAGAAATAATTCAAAAGATTCGAATAGTATACCCAAAAATTGCAAAAATAGAATTCTTTGATAACACACCTTCTACTCACCTACAAAAAATCTAAAGCCCCACATTTCTCATCAAAATCTACTCTAAACTCTCCTATTTCTATTCTAGCTCCTAATCTCTTCATCTTTAATTATTCTTACCAAGGGTATTGTCGTACATATCCAAATAAACTCTAAAAATAAATTATTCTCAATCCTCTTATTCGACAAGGGGTTTTGGGGTTTTGGGGTTTTGGGGTTTTGGGGTTTTGGGG